TCAAATGGAAAAATTCGAATTACGAATTTGTAAATGAATACGCACTTTATAAATAAAAATACATAAAATTAAAAATAAAACTTATTATAGTACCACTATCTTTTTTTACATTAAACTAGTCTATGGTTTTAGGCTGAATATGAAAAAAATGGCACACGCATGCGTAGTTTGCCGATCGTGTTTTTGTATTCGGGATTCGAAAAAATTACAATTACAAAAAATATCGAGGAGTGGGGGCTTAGTACATCACAAGGCCCCAAGCATATTACAAAAATTAGATATTAATTAGAAAAAACTTATTATAAGGTATCTGATTATATAATAGATAAGAATGTTTGAGCTTAAGATGGTTCAGCAACTGAAGAGATCATTTCTTCTAAACTCATTATATCTCAAAATTATCTTGTTGCCATTTTTTTTTCTTTATTTATAATGTTTTGATCTGGTTTTGACATGGTTTTGTGAATGTTAGAGTTAATGTTAACCGTTAAAGCTGGTTAGTTTCTTGCTCGTTCTTTTAATCAGCCAAAAGACTTATTAGTTTATTTGTGCCCAGTAAACAGCGGGTTATACATGGAAAGAGATATATTTATCCAAAATGGTACACAGCTGACATCATACAAAATATCAAAAATAAGTTCTTCCATTTAAAGATTCAAGTCAGAAGGTAAGCAGTTCAATGGGGAAATGTTTCGGTATTACAGATGGAGGGTTAAAATATTATTGGACAGTGCTTATAGACAATACATCAAACTAACGCAAAAAAATATTATTGACAATCCGATAAAATTTTGGAAATATGTAAAAGATAAAAGAAAGCAAAGGAGGCAGATGGATGTATATGGTTATTGCGATAGGGACGTGTCCGGCCAAGAAGCAGTAGATGCATTTGCTGAGTATTTCGGTTCAGTATTTCATAATAATGAGCCTGAATTGAATGCTGAAACTGCTCAATCAGCTAGTATGTGTGTAGATTCTTCTCTCATTTCCATAGCGGCTGTTGATGAAGCAGACTTGAAATCAGCAGTTAGGCGTCTTAAACCTAGAACAGCAAGTGGTCCGGATGGTATCCCGGCGTTTTTAATTAAGGACTGTATAGCCGCCCTCGAATTACCATTGTTGGTTCTTTTTAATATGTGTCTTATTCAAGCCGAATATCCTGAGTGTTGGAAATTATCTAGGGTGACACCCATTCCAAAATCAGATCCGGGAAGGGATGTTTCTACTTTTAGACCGATTGCAGTACTCTCAGTGATAGCGAAACTGTTTGAAACAATTCTTAATACACACATCAGTCGACAAATTAGCAATAAACTGCATAACAGTCAGCACGGGTTTCGAAAGGGTCGATCAACCAATACCAATTTAATAGCGCACGTGGATTATGTCTGTGCAGAAATGAATGCTGGGCGGCAGGTTGATGCCGCCTATTTCGATTTTAAGAAGGCCTTTGATTTAGTCGATAATGATATATTATTGCAAAAGTTGGTGACATTTGGTTTCGCGCCAAGACTTCTCCAGTTTTTCTCCAGATATTTACGTAACAGACAGCAGTTTGTAAGGTTGAATGGTTTCGAGTCAAGCAAATACTACACAAGGTCAGGAGTAAGTCAAGGTAGCACTCTTGGGCCAACTCTATTCTTGATCTTTATAAATGATTTGCCTGATAATGTCAAGTCGGCGGAATGCCTTCTATTTGCTGATGATATTAAAATAAGCTTAGGAGTTGATAATGACATTGATGTTAGGGCCTTGCAAAAGGATATAGATGCTGTGTCAAACTGGAGTATGATTAATCGTCTTCCTTTTAACGAGAGCAAATGTAAAATAATGACATTTTCACTAAAACGTAATACAATAAATGCAAATTATAATTTATTTGACGCCCATTTGGATAGAGTAAATTGCATACGTGACCTAGGAGTAATGTTAGATGCAAAATTAGATTTTCACATTCACATAACTTCAGTTGCTAAATCAGCTAGTAAGACTTTAGGCTTCGTCATTAGAACTGCTGCTGATTTTGATGATGTAAGGGTTGCAATAACATTATACAACGCTTATGTTCGTAGCAAGCTCGAATATGCTGCCGCTGTATGGAATCCGTACGAAGAGAAATATGTTTTGCTGCTGGAAAGGGTACAACGGAAATTCGCTCGTTGGCTTTATAAAAAACTATATGGTTACTATCCATATCTATATCCTTCCATATTTGTCTCGGGTATGGTAGGTTTGGAGACCCTTAAGTTTAGGCGGATTATTGCAATGGTGAGACATTACTTATTTGTATTGCACAATAAGTTGGACGCACCGTCAATATTAGACAGAATGGGACTTAAAGTACCCAGATATTTGTTGCATAATGAAGACGGAACGGTGGCTCCACGTCGAAATCAGCGTCTTCTGGTTCGACCAGTAACGCGCATCAAACGTGCATTATATGCTCCAACTAACCGCGCGATAACACTCATAGGTGATGTAGTCGCTCGGTACGATGAAATTGACATATTCGCACATAGTTTGGCAGTTCTCATGACTAGTTTTCGAGCTATTTTAGATGACATGGACAAATAATTTATAATAAAGTGACTTAATGATAAAATTGACATTGAAAATCATAAATTATTAAATGTTTTTTGTAATTATATGTATGAATGTTGTAAAATTTTATGTTGACATTGGAATTCTTAATTCATTAAATACGTATATTCTTTATTTTATATGTAATGAATGATTTTTGTAAATTTTAATTGACATTGGAAATAATAATTTATTAAATGTATTTTTATTATTTTGACACAATAATAGATTGTCTGACTCACTTTGTATTTGGTATAGGTTTTTTTTTATTTTGTTTTGTATTATTATTTATATTTAATGAATGAACATTGTAAAATTTTGTTTCATAATTTTAACTTGTTTGCAATTTGGATTTTAGTCTGTTGGCTGACAAGTCTTTGTACCTATAAATAAATAAAAAAAAGACGTCCTTTACGAGTGGTTGTGAAAATATATTGGACGATTCAAAAGTATTTATAAGCTCTTTAACGAGTGAAAAAAATTTGGACGGTTCAAAAGCATTTTTAAGAAGTCTATTTAAATAGACATTATTTTGACTTAGACAACTATGTAGAAAGGCGTGATGTCGTGCGACATTTCAACATAATGTATCGCCCTTATTCATTAATTACTCAAAAAATAAAAAAGTATGTGTTTCATATTCTTCAATAATATCATCATAACTATTATCGCATTAATTGAGCTTTTCATGTAGAGCTGGCAACACATTCAATATTTACATCCACACTTGGTAGAAGGCCGCTAAGTCAAATGTTAACAAGATAAAGTGCTTTGCATCTATACAATCTGTATGATTTAAGGCACTTAGGATATTTTTAGATTTGTATTAGTACAATGCACTGAAATTGTAATGGAAACGTTATAAGTAGGTACCAAATATTGTTTGGTTTTCTTTCGAGATAATATAATGAAATTCTGAATGAGAATATCAAGAAAAAGACAGTATAACACGTAGCAGTTCCTTAATCGCGGTTATTTATACTCTTCTCATTTTATACATAGTTTTTGCAAATCTCTACCGATACGTTAAAAATTATAGTTAGTTAGGGTGCTTGTGTCTATCTCTGTAATCGCTGAAAGTTGTTTTTACAACACTTAAAAAAAAATAGCACATTTAAAAATATTAACATGTACTAGACCATTATCAGTAATTTTATTCTAATGTCAGATATTTTTAGCTATTGTATGTGAATAATGCTGTTCCTTAATTAGTAAGGGTATAAGTTTTTACATCTGATAGTAGTTATTCGATAGTAGTAAAAAAAATGCTTTCGTCTTGCCATAATTTATTATGGTTTATGTAAAACGATCAGATCATTATTTAGGTACCTTTCTACGTCTTCGAACGGAATTACCAACGTTCCAAAAATCTCATCGTACCTCTAGCGTAAGTGACGTGTAGCTTCAAAGAGAGCTGCCCTACACTGCGCCGCTCCGATCAGGAAAAAAACGGACAAGTGCACAAGCTACTCATCCGAGTTTTTCATGTCATTCCGGACCTGAAAAAATCGGACCGCCGAACATGAAAATTCAGTGTAGTGCAGAAGCGCCCTTACAGTCACAAAAAATACGATGATATAAATTAACTCATTGCAATAATATTTCGTAGAAATATATTTGGTTTTATTTGTTTTTTTCTAAAGTAATAGCATTGTAACTAATATAACAATATTTTCATTATACTTTACTCAATGAACTGAACCTTATTAATTCTCAAGTCTAATAGAAAAAAACTGTAAAGTTTTATATTATTTAAAGACAAATGCGTAAAAATATACCAGCCCCGTCTGTTGAAAAAAAGGCCCACGATAAATATTCCCCTTCAAATTTTAGAATAAAACGTCAAAAAACCATTTATGACACTCGTTATATTCTATTTTTCATATAAAATGATAATCTTAGGTTAAGATATACGTATTTATTACAACTACACGTTAGCAATAAGCTTTTTGGAAGATCAACGTTAACAAAACAATAAAAGTTGCATAAATTAATTTTTCACAGACTCACTTTAATCAAGATGGACACTAATAATATAGAAAAAAAAACTTTAACAAGATTATTTACAACATGTGCATAGGTTATATTTTTATAAATAAACATTTGATAATGAGGTTAACTACGCACTTTCAAGGTTCTAACATTTTGTTCTTTTATTGTTTATTCCCATTAATATTATTTTAAAATATTTCACTTTGACAATAGTTTTTGCTGAATATAGAGGACTTTATTTTTAATTATATCGTATTTTTCAAAAAACTTAACTAAAACGTTTTGGACTTTGGAGAAAGCTCTATGGTTCGTAGAGCGGTAAATTTTAAATTGAACATCCGTATGTATTAGTAACATAGTCTCAGTAGTTTTGTATTATTACTTTAATAAATAAATAAATAATCTTTATTTCAGGTGGTAATAACCCTTTATACTTTATATTTGCTTTATAATTATAAAACTAGTTAAGCCAGCGGTTTCGACTGCGTATAATATTAAAATAAATCTTCCTCTTAAATTACTGTCTGTTTTTCGACGAAATAAGCGACTTTCTTTACACTATGTATTTTGAGTTATTTTTATTTGATTAATAATTGATAAAAAATGACAATTTCAAAAAATTCATTATATTCGTAATTTCTTTACTTTCTTATTTATATCAAAGCACTATAATCATAATAAACTTATTGACTAACATAACATATTTATTATTAGTGATTTAACGTTCCCAACACAAAAAATACAATGAAATCTCACCTTCATTAAGATACAAACCAAGATCGCTAGCAATTGACTTAAAAATATTATGTATTCGTTTAAAATAGTTGTTTGTTAGTACGTGAACTGAATTTTACTTTCTTTCTCGTGAATTGATACCAGTATAATGTTGAATCCGTCCGATGTTGGTCGTCATTAACATTTCACCGTTGACGACGAGCGTGTTTTGCCGCCACATCGTCTGGCAGTGACCGCGAAAGCGCGCGAACTGTATCAAATGCATAAGCGTTCTCAATTCAAAAATATTGGAAAGCTACTGTTATTGGTGAGATTAAAATAATGTGGTGTTGTGGAAACTTTATTGAATTTTTATGAAACAAAGTGGATATTAGACAAAGTGAAAAATGTGTTTAAGAAGAATTGAATTAGTGTTTTTAATTTTAGCACTATATATGGATAATGGTGAGTTTGCTTTTATAACAGTAAGTTCGATAAAATACACAGTAGCTTTTTTAGAGTAGGTATAGCAATGGTGTAGTTTGGGTATCGTTATTGTTATCATGAAAATGAAAAGATTTTTCACTAACTACAATAATGCTCGATCATAGCTTAGTGGGTTAGGTAGGGGAATTGGGGAACTTAGTTTTGTTCTTATTATGCGATTCCAAGTAAGAATATACTTGGAATAAGAATCACTCGCTATATTTTTATAGAGGTTCCAAAATTTATATTATATCGTAAGATTTTCAGCAAAAGTATCAATATAGTTAAGATGCATTATGTTTCTTAGGAACTTCAGTTGATTCGCGACGTTCTTTTGACCGGTTTTCCGCTCTACTGGTTATTGCCGGCTAAAGAGAAATTGTGATTTAACAATGCGCACGATAATGTCACTTACATTTACACATTAACTATTTAATTTGATAAGATTTCCATGTCCAATATAATGAAGCCGAGAAGCTTGTAAACATAAACTTAACATTAATAATCTTTACTTTCGAAAATTATTTAACAATTATTACATGAGTCTACTCAAAATGAAATCTCACAGTATTTTCCATAAAAGCAAATGTTAAGATCAAAATATCTCCAACATAGGTATTACTTATTACTTGCTTGCTTGAAGTATAATTATTGTAAACTTACATCTGGTTTTAGGACTAATAAATTAGTTCTCCAAAATAATGTTATTCGAACTTTTTCGTGGCTTTCAGCGTCAAAAGCTTTCAAATAAATTAGTCGTACGAATTACCATGACACCAGATGGTCTATTCTATTTCTCCGAAAATCTTTCGTCTGTTTTTAAGATGTTTAATTGACTCCAAACAAAGTAAGTATATTTTAATAATTTATGATGTTACGAAGCCCTTCGATACAGAGATAATTTTCACAGTTATGATGTTAACAAAATTAGAAGAATTTTTGTTCCAGGATAAATAGAATAAGCCTTCAGGTGTCATTTTAACAGATATTTTCGAAATACTATGCGAAATCATTATATACACAATATTCTATATATAATTCAGGACAGGATAGGACAGAAAAACTAGTTAGTAATAAAGAATAATTAAATATATTATTTTAGTACTGTGTCCAATTACTAGTATATTCAAATTGAAAGTTTCATTTTACAGTTATACGCGGTTTTGAATTTTAAGATTAATAAATATCGGATTGTCATGCTTTATTGTCGGAGTAATAAAATTTTACTAAAATTGCATATGATAAATTTAAAAGGATAGCTTTCATAAGTTTAGTTTTGTATTTGAGTTCGAATGGAATGTTTAATACAATAAGTTTTACGATTTACCAATTATTATTCGACGAAAGTAAAAGTACGGTCGCGTAATAAAAGTATAACTACAAAAAATATAAAAAAAAACCTCACTTTCCTGTTGTATGGTTTTTTGTACTGAACTTTTTAGACAGTAGAATTATAATGCAACAACTTTTTGCTATTCATTAAATATGTTCTATTAATAAAGCGAATGACGAGGTGTGTTCATATATAACTTACATAAGTTATTAGTAAATAACGATACTCAGAAATAGAGTCGCATTCAACCATTTCTGGTAAAAAAATATAGATATACAACAAAGCAGATTTATATAAATATATAAAAAACGTGGAATTGGATTTTGGTTTCCCAGGTGACCTACCAGTCAGTGATTTTAGTAACCCAGCATTCCCAAATGTTTTTTCTCGGGTGCGTACATACTCTCTCACTCTTGTCTCGACCCAAGAAAGGTGACGTTTGGAGTAGACAAAGCTTTTCTCGAGTTTGTCGTGCTATGTGCGCGGTGTTATCACCCGGGTGATCAAAATGAATTAATCAAATTCTGGTGAGACGGTGGTGAATCCACATGAACAAGATCCCTTTTTCTTTTTATTACAATCTTCTAACTTGCCTTGTTAGTATATTAGTTACTGCGCAAATCTTGGAACTCAACTTTATCCACTTCCCAATGTCCGATAGACCTCAAATTTTGCATAGACATGTAATTCAGATGATAATGCAATATTATGTTGTCAGTAAGCTAATATGTTGTTGAAGTCGGAAGGTGGTCATAGGAACTTGGTGTTGAAATGACGCAACTGCTCTCTTTCATCTAAAGTCGTACGACGCCAATTGCTGAGTACTGTACTAATGGCATAGACCTCCTCCTATAGATTCCCCGCCCCCGATTATAAAATCATCGGCCCACTTGATGGGGGGCTTACCCACTGGAATGATTCGGAGTGCCATCGCTTTTATAAAATCGGAGATTTGATCAAGACCTAAAGGAATATGATCATAATCACTAAATATGTCAAAATTCAGTGTAATACTAAATTATTAGTGAAGGTATTAGTGTAGATGATACATACATTGTAAGTTAAACAAAAGCTTGTAAAAAGAGAATAACAGTACGAGTAATCTAGCCCAACAGTAAATATAGGAAATGATTGATTACATAAACTATACTAGTTTTTATAAACTTATTAATAGATTACGTGTTCAAAGCGACTCTTTTCATTGTGAATGTGTTCCTTATTTTTCTTTTCCTACATTCGGGCGATTGTTTGAGAGAGAAAAATCTCATGGGTGATGAGAACGTAATAAAAAGTATTCTATATTACTGATGGGTTAACATGCAACCATTGTTGAAAAAGCGAAAGCAGTGCAACAGGATTGTAAGAAGTCTACATCGTATTATAATAACATCCTCGTTATTACTCAATTGGGATTTAGAATCATGTAGGGCAATACATGCGTGCACGCACGGCTAGCGTTAAGAGTAAACAATGAGTATCCATTTATGAAAGTCAATATGGCATAAGTATGTATCTGCCTACGTTATAATGTTAAACAAGCTAAATTAATTAAAAATCTAATTACCGAAGTAATTAAGATTTTAAATGGTTCTAAACCTCAAATCCCTAACAAATTGGTAGAACTAGCCCCCCGGTCCTTATCGCTTTGCTATGCACTGCGTCTCACTCCCGCACCTCCATTGAGACCGGAAAATATGTTACTATGCCTTTTTAGAAACTATATCATTTGTTATTCTCATTTAACTGTTTATAAGCCGAAACTAAACTGAGAGTACTTGTAGTGTAGCGGGTAGACCTTTCTGTCGATTGCAGAGTTAAGCAATTTCCGTATAGGATGGCTATGGGATCATTTTTTAAAATCTCGCGCTTCCATAATACGTAAATCGCAGCTGTTGGTTCGGGGTGCATTACAGTTGTTAAAAACCATCTTTATGCCTCAGTTACTACACTAGTCGACGGGGACGCGACGCATGTAGAGTGAGGGCTCATCTCAATGGTCAATAAAACAATGAGTGACCAATGAAAGCGAATCACAGAAATCTACCGCAACGACGTCATCTGCGATTTTAATTGAGACTTATGACCCGTGTCCAAGTTTTTATTTTTTTATCGAGAGAAAATATAAAACTATGGCGCAAAATTAAGGTTAAACCAAAATTATTATTAGCCCTACCATTGATTAGTCCTGGTGAAAAAGAAATATATAGCGCGTGGGGATGCCAATTATCTTAAGAAGTTTCTCGGTTAATGAAGAATGACAATGGTATAATAGTTATTGCTTTTCAGTTTTTTATTTTCGTAATTCAATCTATAAAAGACATTTACGTTATACGAGTATGCTGATGACGGTGAAACTGGAATTTACCAAGAGGCTGAAATTATATAACATGTAATTATTATAATACAAAACCTGTTTCAATGTAAGTGCTCGGTAAGATGCGCAAGTGCAACTCTTGGTAGTTAGTGAAAGTTGTCCCTGTTTTTATGATAGTATTGATAAGCAATAATAAACAAATCGATATGGATGTTCGGATATAATCTCTGGCCACAATATTTTTTTGTATTGGATTTTTATTGTAGTTAGGTTAATACATTTTTTTTGATACTAGGAAGTGTATTACGCGTATCCTTAGCGCGGGGTCGGCGGCTTATGGGCACATAATCTCCAGAGTGGTGGCTAGTAAGCAGGAGCATACCGACCCCGCTCTCTGACCCCGCACCCGTCTTGAAAAGGACAGGTTTAAATGAGGCCAACCTTCCTGGTTAAACTCGCTGCGAGTATCCTCCCAGAGTGACCAATAGACGTATTGAGACGTAGACGGCAATGTATTTCGCTTTACATTTAAATATGGCATCTTTTACCGACCTATCCCTATATATATATTTTATTTATATAGAAAAGTCCGTATGCGTCTCGCTTAGATACGAAAAAATACTCACAAAGTATGCCTGAACCTCAATTGTATTTTTTATAAATAAAAGAATTGAACAATTTAGTTCCTGCCTGCGATTAGAGGAATGGATGAAAGACAGAGAGTGAGATAAGTGAGATATAGTATGGGCATATCTCATTCTCGACCCGTTTCTCAAGTCTCTCTAGCACTGGAGTTCATCCAGTGCGACCAGCACGCAAAGCAAATGAGTGAGTGAGACTAAGAACACGCATAGTTCATGATGGTTCTTTAGATGTATAGTAGGAATGGTTTTTTTGTTTAACTACAGTGCCAGATGCTGAAGGCAGTATCATGGACATGGTGGACTTTCGGTACTGGCGATGTGTCATGAAGAGGGAGTGGACATGTCCCGACCATGAGATCAACTTCTTCTTGTTTACGCCGTAAGTATTTATGAATGAAAACTTTTATTATTTGCTTAAGTAGTAACTTTATTGAATTAAAGATGTAGGTTTTTGTTAAATGAGCTCATGTATTCTTTTAGTTTTATATTTACTGGTAATCACCGCCAAAGGTTTTTACAAATTACTTATTTTTATCTTTAGAAAAAAAGAGTACGTAAGTATAGATATATAAGAGTATAACTTTAGTATAACTTATATAAGGTCATAAATAAATGTTTTTATTTACTATTTATTTATTTATTATCAACAACATTTACCTACATCGATCATTACAGCTTATAGCCAATGCGATCTAGTAAACCTTTACAATGTTTCTTATGTTAACTGAAGACCTTACTTTTTATATATAAAATAAGCTATATATAATATATTATATTGTTCTTAATTAATTTTATATGTACAAAAAAATATTACAGTTTTTGTAAACTCACTCAGAGCACAATCAAATATGTCAATTTCATTAGCTATCATATTAATGATAAATAGATATAGCGCGTGTAAACGGTGCGTGCGGATGGAACCATCAGAAGTGGTACCTGCCTCCTGCGCCATATATACCGGTCTGGTACCCTGAGACATACCCAACCAAGTATATCCGCGTTATGTATCTTCCCTCTGAGTATTTTAAACTAATGCGACATTCCTCCTCCTGTCATTCCTAACACAAACAAAGTAGGGTAATTTAAAGGATAAAACGGATATACGCCATATAGCTTCATGTATAAATACCTAGCAAATTTATTTTGGACTCGTTCTAACATGCGAGTATATTTCTTTTTATAAGGCGCCCATACTATTGCGTTGTGCTCAAGCTGACTCCTAACCAAGGCGTTATATAACGAAATGACTGCTTTCATGTTTGTAAAACCTATAAACATTTATCTGTAATATACTGCTTAGAATTGACGGCTTCAATTATTTTTTGAATTATAGCCATTGAGCTACCCAGAACCTAACAGGACTGACGAATTTTATAAGCACTTGTTACTGTTTCGTTACTATTTTGCTATTGAAATGGTGGTATGGGGAATGACAACGCTCGCTCTAGCGAGCAACCATCTATGGTTGAACGCCATGTTCCCAGAGCCCAAATATTTGGTAGACGTGTATGAGGTAGTCAAATCATTGTAAGGAGATGAGATCGCAGAGGTCTCCCGCACTCTGCGTGTTGACCCCATCGGCCAGTATAAACGAGCTATAAGTGACGTCATCGTTTGATCCAAAATGAATCGTTAGCCTTAAGTAGTAGTTATTCTCAACGGAATATATGATTTTTGATTTATAATGTAACATGACTTACTCAAGGATGTTTTGTCTACAACCTAATTTCACTTTTTTTCGAGTGCTCTCATACGATAAAAGTAAAGTTCGGTGTTTCGACAAAAAACAAAGCGTTTCTAGAGTTTGTCATGCTACGTGAACTGATGTTTACATAAAATTTATTTTGGGGAAATCGATAGAAAAGGTCAGTTAGCTTATAGATGCAGATATTAATTGTTTTAGTGTTTCTTTGCTAGGGAACATCCTCATCAGCATTGGATAGATCCGCGGCACCCGGACCTGCTTCAGGATCTCGGTTGGAAGTTGGGAAGGAAGAACGTCCTAATAATTCACGGTTTCAATGGCACGCATAGCAAATCTCCCATGACATTTTTGAGAGACGGTAAGTTAATAAGTTAGACTCTAAAGATGAATATTGGCACATATGAGAATCGCATTAGGATAGCAAACCCATTTAATAGATAACTATTAAATGGGTTTGGTATACTACAGATACAAGCTGATCTATCTCTGATTGACTATCTTATGGTTTGTTGTGTCTTCATAAGCAGTTAAGCATGGAGCTGCTCGAGATAGACGATTGTTTGTTTATTCATCCCATGATCGACTTTTCTGAAAGTTTTTGTGTATTTACGAAAGAGAAACCTTTATAAGTCAAGTCTGCCAAAGAGCTTTTACAAAAAAAAAATGAATTTATAATTTGACATCTCGTAATAATTCTATTTCCAGCGTTTCTATCACGCAAAGACTATAACGTATTCATGGTGGACTGGTCTCAACTCGCCAGGTTTCCGTGTTACCTGTCAGCTCTCTCAAATATGAAGTAAGTTCCATTTTATTGTGTCTTCCAACGTAGTAGAATTATTTTATATAAATATGTATAGATAGAGAAAACTCTGAAGTTTTATTACATTTGTAGTAAATTTAGAAAGTAATCGTAACAAAAGAAATTATTTTCTTATTGGCTCAGAAAATTGGGGCTAAACGCAATCGCCTATCTAAAAATAAAAGTATAAGAACAGTTGGTAGTAAGTTTTAGTTTTCTTTGTAAGCAATTTTATTATTGACCCCAATATTGAACAAAAGATTTAAAAATGAAATGAAAAAGACCGGGCAAAAAATCATTGTTGTGAGATTTTATAGTGGCAGATTCTACAACACGTGTTCAACATAAAAAGAGAGAAAAACAGCCGTTTTAGATTTTTTGTTGGTTCTTGTTATTGCGTTTAGCGTAAGCAAATATATACACCCGGTTTCTGAATCAAAATCACAATTATTCATTCAGTCTAGGCTGTTAAAAGCACTTGTGAAAGTCGAGAGCTACGCCATTGGTTCGTAAGCGGGAGATTGGGAGACCTTGTACCGAGAAGAACCGGCAAGAAACTCGGTAAGGGCTGCTGTTTTCTCCCTGTTTTATTTCATACAGAGCGTCAAGATTTGAAAAAAAAAGTGACTTCATTAAAATATGAAGTCACTTTCCATTACAATATTAGAAAATGTAAAAGTAAAATATAAATAGTATTTACGTCAATCGAATCACATGTCTAGTCAAACTAGCTCACCGATAAATAATTTATTATACATAAAATTAAGTCATATTTTGTCGTTGTTAAATATTCATTAAAGTATAATATCCTTTACTGAGTAGACAATCCTTAATATGGATTTTAAATTTAGGCAAGGATTAGTTTAAAATTTCCATAGGAATTTTGTTATAGTAGTGTATACCTTGACCCATAAATGTTGATAGAGCCTTCTTTAGCCTGCATAACGGCAAAACGGAGTTGAGAATTTAAAATTAGGCACGTCACAAATCGTACTTAGTTTTTCAAACTTCATTTAAACAGGTTTTCGTTTCTGATTTTTCTAATTTTAATGATCAATTGATAGCAGTTTGATAAAACTAAGACTTTTTGCCATGTAAAACGTAAAAATAAACTCAATTCAGAAATCAGCCGTTATAATACACTCGTATCTAAGCCGAGAGAAGTTATTAAGAACTGTTAATAGCTTAAATTATGACATTTTTTCAAGTAATTACTTCTTTCGACTATGATTGTGAGTGTAGTATATCAAAATAGGCAGACAATCAATTTGAACCGATAGTGTACTTATTAATATTGTAACCCAAAATTGTAATTTAAAGAAAGATTAATAATTCTTCATGTTGAGTTGAGTTCGTACGCCATTTTAAAATATGGTGGGTAAATATAGGTAATAATCTTTTCGATATTGTGTTACCTTCATTGTTTCGATACGAAGGCTTTATCTAGCGTTGGGTATCTGAGAAATATATATTTTAATGTATTTCCAGGCTGGTGTCTCAGTGTACAGCCCAGTTATATTCTGCAATCACTGAAGCGGGAGGGTTGGCTAAGAAGACTACTTGTGTTGGCCATTCATTGGGAGCGCATATCTGCGGAATGATATCCAACCATCTTACTGAGAAGCAATACAAAATTGTCGGTAAGTGATGTGCATGATTTCCAAGACATATAAAAATACCGATTAGTTTGTCATACCGTTTGTATTTATTTCAGGTGAGAGTAGTTTTCGAACTTACTTTATTATAAAATAGTAAGTTCGAAAACTACTTAAAAGATTTTTATAATCCGTTAAAATTAAAATCGATAATTAGATGCATTTTTAGATTGTGGTAGACCCAAATTTCCTAGCTTATTGATCCTTTAGAATGCTATTTATTTTTCCGTTATGTTACCTAATAAATAAATATAGGCTAGCTGACCCGGCAAACGTAGCACTACTGAATGCACATATAAAATTTCATCGAAATTGGTCAAGCCGATTCAAGTAGTATGAGAGCTAAAACTGTGACAAAAATATCGAAATAATAAATTACCTAAATAGAGTTTTTTTGGTATTAGATTAAAATAAATCACTCGATTACTTTAATAAAAAACAAAAGCTTTATTGAAACATATTTTTAAAAACAACTTCTTATGCTATCATAGATCTTGTAAAAAGTATTGAAACAAATAAAGTTATTATAGTTGTGGAACCTTAGGCAGTCCCACGGTTATTGTTTTTGTTTCCAAGTACTGGTTTATGCCATCTTCTCCTCTGTAAGGTAATAAAGTTTATTTATCAGTTGCCAAATAATCAAATAATATTTTTATTAAAAATATAATATACTTACAATTCTCTTCCAAGGCCAGAATCTTTGAAACCACCAAAAGGAGTTTGACTAGTAACATGGTCGTACGTGTTAATCCTGCATAAAATAGTTAAATAAGAAGACATTTTAAAAAACAAGTGTTAGAGGGAAAAAGATCGACTACTACTGGCAGTGCAGTACTTAATGTAGATTTCACTACTATGAAGTTTGTTCGTTTCGCGCCAATAAACTTCCGGGATTATTATGTAATTATTATGTATTACTTAAATTCTTGTACATGTAATTTAAAATAAATAAATTGAATAGTTAAAAATGTTCTTTCACTAGTTATATTATTATTAATTAAAATTTGTAGTAACGGAATTATAATAGGAACAATAAGATGAGAGGAGGGGAGGGGGGATATTAATATTTTTAAATTCATTATGATACTCACCAAACGGAGCCAGCTCGCACTTGTTTGGCGAAGCTCAGCGCTGTAGTGATATCGTTAGTTATAACACCAGCACCGAGACCATAGTTAGTGTCGTTAGCTCGGTCTACAACCTCCTCAAATGTTTCAAATTTGAAGATACTCTGGACTGGACCGAAGATCTGTAAAACATATATAATTGAACTCTATAAAATCTATATATTCTATATCTATTGATTTCTTGTATTTTTACGCGCCCTTTACAGGTTCCGTGGTCACTAAGACTAAGGTGTTGATTGTCTTTTTAATTAACAGTACAGCTACCTTAAACGATACTATTGGACACATTCACAATACAAAAAAAAAAATGGGAACGTTTATATTTATGAAATTAAACTATTTTAAAATACATTTTACTTATTTATTTGCCTCTGGCTACCATAATCTACAGCAGTCCAAATTTAGGAATCTTGTTTGAGAAGAAAATAGCAGGTCTATGGGTGTAAAAAATATTGTATTTTAGTTTTCATTTTATATTTCATTAAAGTAAAAAAAAAACTATGCGTAACTTGAAGCTTCAGTTTTGTTGTCGTTTTTTAATGCGCGCGCTAACATGCGCGACGCCATGTATGTAAACACAACTCAATATAAAAAAATTGTATGAATAATAGTTGAATTTATTCTGTTCTTACCTCTTCTCTTGCGATTTTCATGTCATCTTTGACATCAGCGAAGACTGTAGGCTTTATGTAATATCCCTTGCTTCCTAATTTGTCACCACCAACAAGGCATCTCGCTCCTGATTCTTTACCGGCAGTAATGTAACTCAAAACTTTGTTAAACATATCTTTGTCGATCTAAAATTGAGGATAAAATATATAATTATTTTAAAATTCTCTTTCTTTTTATTCTAAAAGTTCGGCACAGTTTAAGATTGAAATGAACAATGTTCACTGTAAGACTGATTGATCCATTTTTTCAGAATTGCCTCGGATAATTATTTTGCCAAGCCAAAGCAAGGATGACCAAGTTCAGCTAGGAGCTTAACATTACTATTCTATAAAATATACGCGTGTAGTTTGTCAGCAAAAATATTGTTATAATGAAACAAAAAAGTCTTTCTTGTACGTATTATTAAAAGACGACATATATTTGGATAATAGGAAATTAACAGATGTTCGTTAAATTGTTGTTTTCTCTATTATATACCTGTGGTCCCTGTTGGACATCATCAAAAGGATTGCCAACTGATCGGTGCTTGGCTATTTCAGCAGCCTTCTGAATGAATTGATCATAAATGCCCGATTGTACATAGGTTCTAGTTCCGGCACAGCAACATTGTCCGCCATTGGCGAAGGCTGCAGCATGGGCAATTTGAGCCGCTTTTTCCACTAAAATGTTACATATATCTTTTATTTATTTTATAAGAATAAAAACATACGAGATAGTAAAAAGTATAGTCATGTTTTCAAAAATATATTTTGATGTATGTGAAATTTATCTGAAAATACATTACCATCAGCGTCATTGAAGACCACCAAAGGACTCTTGCCACCCAACTCTAATGTCACTCGTTTGAGGTTTACAGTTGATGCAGCACCGAGAACTATTCGGCCTACCTATTTGAGAATTTTGGAATGGTTTATTTAAATGTGGTGGAATGAATTTCTCAAGGCTATATGCCTTTATTGTTCTGACGTCTCGATGTGATTTTAATGAAATCTTATGTACGTTCATCTAGACAGTGGAAGCTACTGGATACAAGTATTACCACTTGTATCCAGTAGCTTCCACTGTAATAGAAGAGTTCCTCATCATCAGTTCTCTTTGCTGAAGTATAGGCTTACCTTATCGGTGAAATCAAATGGGGATATCGGGCAATAACCCAGTCTCTAGTATTTGTAAGTAAGTCAGACTCTAGTTATTGCCGAGAACAAAGGCTTAATAACGTGCCTTCCGAAGTATGAAGGAACTAGATAATAAATTTTTGGACGTCAATTCTATGACCGAGCCTCACGGAAGTCGCTTAAGCTCTACTCAGATCAAATGCGTTAATCATTACACTCCTCTTAATAAGAAACTTACTTCAGTGGAACCAGTGAAAGCCACTTTATCAACATCAGGGTGATGTGTGAGAGCTGCACCAGCTGTGGGCCCATAACCAGGCACTACATTCACCACACCTGGTGGAAAACCAGCCTCTTTTATGAGGGCAGCGATTGCTAATGCTGTAAGTGGTGTTTGTTCGGCTGGCTTCACAATTATTGTACAGCCTTGAAATAGAAACATTCTCATTAAAGTGGCTGATAGAAATCGCTAATGTTTTAATTTGTTTTGAGTTTATAACATAATATTATTAAATTTAATCTATGTATTTGGTTTTCTGTACACTTTTTTCATTTTCATCATAGTTGCCTATGTATTTTTTTTTCAAAATTGGATCTGATATCATCATAATTTAAAAAAGATATGTTTTGTTGTCATTGTTTGTATCATTAAATTAAAAAATAAGTGTATAACAATCTTAAATCTTGGTTAATGTTTACCTGCAGCTAAAGCAGGTGCTATTTTCCACGTCATCATCGGAATAGGATAGTTCCATGGTATGATCTGAGCGCACACTCCTACGGGTTCCTTTAATGTAAAAGACAAAACATCACCATCTGTAAATAATAATGAATATTATATAGCATACAATAAATAAATTAACAAAACTATATTTAATTACTCAAAAAAAGAATGCGACTCAAATGAGTCCTATTACTGATCAAATAATAATATTACATTTTAATTGATAGAGTTTGTATATTTTACATTTATTATAAATCTTAAGAGTGTCGGCGGCTTTATCATCTTTGTAATGATTAAAAACAAAACAGAGATGAACAGACGTTTTTGACAATGACCTATTTTTGCTCTATGTCGATCATGCCCAATTATATTACATGCCGCGTGATAATTCAAGCAATTAAATGAAGCTGAGATAACACTATAAATATCAGGTGATCTTTATAGTAACCTGTCATAAATCTGAGCGAAAAGTTTATTATTTTGACAAATACAATAAAGACTTTGGTATTTGCATTTACAAAAATTGTAACAAAATAAGTAAGTACAATATGATGATTTATTACGTAAGGTATTATTACGTATTATTTATTTATATGATGATAATAGTGTCGAGATATTATTAGACACCTCATTTATCTCCACTTCCACTGCACTTAGTCGGCTTTTCATAGGTGTAAAGTAATTTGAGATGGTCTTGACGGTTAAACCACAGTTGTTCATTTGTTTGCAAAGAGATACTTTATTTTTAGAATTTATATTAGAATTAGAAGAGAATTTTACTTTCAAATTCAATCACAATAGGAAATGTACTTTGATAACTAAATAATGTTACCGGCAGGTATGGTGTTCCCCAGTATTTTATCCGCCTTTCCAGCGTAATATCTCAAAACAGATGCTGAATAGTAAACTTCTTCTTCAGAAATTTTGACTGGTTTTCCACAATCCAGGGTTTCCAATTCAGCCAAATATCGTGCCTGAGATTCTATGAGATCAGCCAGTTTAAGTAAAAGCAAGCCACGCTGAGAGGCATCCATGGTGCGCCATTTTGAGTAGCGACTGAAAGCCGTTTTGGCTGCACCCACAGCTCTGTCGATATCAGCCTATGGAAACATATGCTTACAATGGTTACAAATATTCTTTGAAATTTTGTAGACCTATAACGGGAGAAGGATGATTTTAGTACAAAAATCTAAGTTTTGTTTTAAGTTAATAGAAAAATGACTGACTACGAAGTAAGCCTATCTGTGACCTAAAACATTAAAAACCAAACAAAATGTATTAGCAAATCGCAGAAATTTACAATGCCATATTCATCCTTTAGAAAAATACTTTATGATAAATCGATCGTCTCAGATGTTGGGGATAGTTCTATCCATTTAAATACAATTTCAAGACAATATAACATGGAATGGAATATTTTTGTTTGTTCTAATTATATTTAAGCATTATTTCCCTAATCATTTTAGATTCTCTAATAGCATAGAACAGAGCGTAGTTGAGTGTAGAAATAGAATCATTGGAGTTTCGACGTATGGGAATGATCGATCAAGTAAATGAAGCCATAGAATTTAAAGTTTGGTTGTAATTTCTTTAGAATCTCTAGGGGAAAGGGCCGCTGCCCCTCCTGCCCCCCCTTGACCACTCCCTTGGCTTCCTTTGGAGACCGACTCGGTGGTCTTTCGGTAACTAGGCGACTGCTTATCCAATCCAAGTACACGGGTCTGCATAGTTTTATCAACATCGACTTAAATTTTGATCTTTGACATCGAAGTTTATATGTCAATAAAATCAATTCCCAACATATAATTTTATGCGGCTACCATCATGAACGGTAAAGCCTACAGCATTCCATTCAATGTACACGACACTGTCTAATTTCTAGTCTCAGTTATTGTCATTTGTTAATCTTACCTTATCTCCTTCCGCGACTTGAGCAATGATGCTTTCATCTTGAGGGTTGATTGTTGGAAATGTTTTTTTACTTACAGCATCAATCCATTCGTTATTTATAAAAAGCTGAAACATTTAAATGTTATTTAAGATAATAATATATAATAATAGTAGGTACATGCAGCAGTTCATCATAAGTCACACCACATTAAGTAAATATTTAGCAGTGGTTTCAAATTTTACCTCAACGGATAAAGGTTTAAAATCAACTGTTTTGTATAACCTGACATGTTGTTGACTGTACCTAGATTTAATGAGAAAAGAAATGGTATTAAATGTCATACTGGTGTAATCTACGTGCATTGAGATTTTAACTGATATGATTTCTACAGATACCTCCAGATTATCACGATACTTCAGCCAATTTAGATAAGACCTTCGTTAGCTGTCCTTATAAACTACTCCATAGATTAGCGAAATCCGATGAAGATTTCTTTGGTAGTAGGTATTTGTTTTCGTTATTACTCTTAATGAAGCTTATTTATTTTGTGGCACTATCTTTGTTTGTACCGGCCGGCGGGCGTTACCATATTTTGTGGCGTTACCCTATAACTAAATCGTGTCTAAACTATGAATTGGAAAACAAAATGTATCAAAACAACACGTACCTTTGTATATTTAACGTCAATTTTCACCATAATGATAACAGTTTCTTGATACAACGTTTACAAATACGTTTAAACCGTCAGACGCCACCTAGCAGACTGAAGGACTTGCTTGCTGCGATTAGTAAACATAATGATTGGAGAAAATTTTAAAATGTACCTTATATGTGAAGTCTAAAGTTCTTAATTTCTCCTATGTTTACTCAGCGGTGTATGGGTCTATTTTATTTTTAGCCGTCGGTTCGATTCGAAAACGATGTAGAAGTGTGGCTATACGATTTTAGTCTTTGTGCGTTTGCTATAAATCTGGAAATATTAAGATTAGATTACGGAATGAAGTTAGTTGCGAGGGGAGCAATAAAATCTATGAGACCATAGCGAATGCAGTTTTGTGTTGATTTGACAGAGTGTAATTAAATTCCGATTCTGTTGTACTTTTCTCTAAAGTAAAAACTAACTAAGTGCGAGTCGGACTCGTGCACGAAGGGCTCCGTACCGGAAATGAGCAAAAAAATCACGTTAGTTGTATGAGAGCCCCTCTTAAATATTTGTGTAAGTTTAATTTATTTTATTATTAACTTTAAAAATTACTATACAAATACATATTTTGTAAACATTTCAAGCCTATTGTCGTTATCAATGTCGACCAAAAACAAGCAAAAAAAAACACGTTTGCTGTATGGTAGCCCCTTTAAATATTTATTTTATTCTGTTTTTTTCAGCAACAAAAATTCATCATCTGTAAAAATTTCAACTGTTTAACATTCGCGGACAGACGGAAGCGGAGTCTTAGTAACAGAGTTCCCGTTTTACTCTTTGGTTCAGGAACCCTAATAAAAAAGAGCACTTGTTTTATTTGAGTTTGTTTTTAAGTATGCTATATCAAGGATATATAATAAAAGTATAGTTCTTAACTATAACTAAGAATTGTCATTTCTGTTATCTTTATTTAAAAAAAATCGAAAGCAGTCGTCTTTTTGTATATTAAATACATAGTTAATATCATTTATCATGTTCCTATAACGTGCAATACAAAATTCATAAAAAGAAAACTAAATTTATAATGGCAGTTAACGATCATAATGATAGTTTTTAAAAATAGGGGCATAATTTTAAAAAATATAGCAATCACTTTCAATTTGACATTTGAAGGACATTCACGAACTTCACGCAACAATTATATAAAAATGTGATAGTGATTACGTCGCGCCGATTTTAAGAAAGATATAAAATGAACGCTGTCTAATTTGATGTTAATAGGAATTTTCTAAGGCAAGCGTTAGACGTATAAATTACTTCACGTTTATTTAACAAAGTTTTTGTTATGATTTTTGATCATTCAAATCATAAAGGTTACACATAATCGCTACTACTTTGAAAGGGATTGTCACAGATTTTGATATTAGACAATTAGGCCATAGATTTCCTATTTATAATACAATGTTTTTGTTTTTAATATCGTCATTCGACTATAATTTTGTTTCTATTAGTATTTATAAATTTTAAGTCAAAATAAACGTTTGGACGTTGTACCGACGAATGATTCGTTGGTACAACGATCGAATATATAATGTTTATGAATCCATCTTACTTCTAAATAATATATTAATCATTGCTATATGCCAGACTTTTTTAATTAGGTACAGATAAAACCTTATCGCAGTTCGCGACAATTTATCTATAAATTTATTTTGTTTTGTATACACGTCTTATTAAGGTTAGGGTTACATTCGATTATTAATAATAATACTAAGATTTGGAAAAGATCATTTATACTCTGACATTTTTATAATTCGTAAGCATGTAATTCATCAGTCCACTTTTGAATTTATTTATAAATTAAATAAAAGCGTCTAGACTAATTTCATAAGAACACAAAGAAAAAAAAGATCTTTCTGTCTAGTGGTGGGTTTAAAAAAGTTTATAAGGTACTTAATCATTTTTTTACAAACAATGGACAAGTATTGGATGTATGGTTATAAAATTTTACCTTTTCCGATAATGACTGTATAATTATTTTATTATTTCACTAGCTAACAAACGCATAGTTTATTGTTGAGTTTGAGTTTTTGTTCATAAAAGTAATTTTGAGGGATAAATTGTCATGAAAGTAAACAATATATTAATTCAATTAAATATCAGTAAACAAGAAAAGTGTGCAGTGAATTTAGGACGAGAATTCGAACGGGTAACGTGTTTCCTCTCATTCAAAAACTCCAAAGAAGTGTTAGGATGTTGATGATGAAATTAGAAAATTTGTATTGGTAATGTCGCTTTAAGCTAATGACAATTTAATCCGACGTTTGTGCACTTAACCTCCAAAACAGTTATAATGTTAACTATTAAAATTATCTAATTATTTTGTCGTCAGAGATTAGAAGTAATGTGACGTGGAAAAAATAACATGGGTATTTTAACCTACTTCTAAAATCATAAAAAACGGTGTACCATGTTTTTGTTGAATGTATGAAATTTATTGAGATCAGTCCAGTGGTTAATATATTAATGACCTACATTTAATTACGACTTTGTCCTAGATTTTATTTTTCATATATAATTTGTCCCTTTTTTTAAGTCCGACTCGAAAAATATTAAAACTACAAGATAATTTTATTAGTTATCATTATAGGGTAACGGTTAAAAAATATTTTCAATCGTTGTTCCGAGACAAAAAAATGGGAAAATCTAACCGACAGAAAACCTCCTTCCAACTTCAATAGAAGTTGCTTACAGACATTCTGCAGTGATGTGTATATTATTTGGGGATCAAAAGAAATATAAAGACAGTGTTACTAGAAAATATTTATATAGTTATACACATACAATTGGCAAAGGTAAATATTTTTAAAGATAATAAAACGAAGTATATATATTTTATCAGTCTGTGGTTTAGTTCCAGGTATCATTTATACGAGGGGTTTCTTTGGTAGATTGAAAGACACTGTCTTATGCTCCAGGTACTGGGTTATGCCTTCTTCTCCCCTGCGAATAGAAATATTGTATAAGTAATTGTATTATGTTATTTGCAAATGTTAAGATAAAAATAATAGTTTACGTTTTAGAAAGAAAGACTTTGCATCTAGTTTGGATGTTTAAAAACTATTTTCCGAAGGCAAAAATGACCTTCATGATGAAACCACGTAATAAACAATCAATGCTAGAATAGTCTAAAGGAAGGTAGGAAGGTAAAGGATACACTTTCCCTTCCTTTACTAGCTAATTCTTATCTCATTTTTATGCAATACATATGTTGAGATTAATACAAAATATACTTACAATTCTCGGCCAATTCCAGATTCCTTGAAGCCACCGAATGGTGTTTGCGTCGTGACATGTTCATAGGTGTTTACCCTATAAACAGATGTTTTTATATATATATATATATATTTAAGTAGTCATAAATTACTTTTGTGAGATCAGAGCCCTGTTTCTTGAAAGATACAAGTCTTAAAATTCATGATGAAAACAATATTTACACTGATGAATTCTATAAAAAACTCCAACTTTGTTGATAAATTAATGCAAAAGTTTATTTTTATTTTCGGCAATCAACATTTTTTCACCTATGGGAACTACATCATATGCGGGTGACATAACCTATAATTTAGACAAGCAAAATCGCAGGAAAACAACTAGTCTTTAATAAATTGTTTCTGATAAAGTAAAAAGATTGATTTCAGAATTCAATTCAATAAACTTCACTTACCACACTGATCCAGCCCGTACATGTCTAATGAAAGAGAGGGCAGTTGTGACGTCATTGGTGATGACACCAGCGCCGAGGCCGTAGTTAGAGTCGTTAGCTCGGTCTACCACCTCTTCGAAGGTTTCAAATTTGAGGATGCTCTGTACCGGCCCGAAAATCTGTAAAAATCGCATAAAAAGTGTAAACTCAAAAAACCAATATGTCTATAGAATCAAAAGATGTTAGAAACTGGGTAGATCAAAAGACCTTTCACATATTAATGGTGTATTTTCGAAAGATGCTGTCAGAAGACAATAAGTATGTACTCGGTTATGATAGAGCTGTTTCAAGACCATACCGTACTATACCGTCTAATGTTCGGTTTTCTCTGCCCATTCTTGCAAAGGAAAGGCTACAGGATCTGGGGTGAACCTATTTGGCATTACTGTATTGTCGAACAGTTATAACTTCAGTATGTGTTCGTTTCTTAGAAGCAGAAACATTTACAATAATTTGTCTAATAGATGAGCTACTTACTTCTTCCCTAGCGATCTTCATGTCATCTTTGACATCAGCAAACACAGTGGGTTGGACGAAGTAACCGACTTTTCCTTGCCTATCGCCACCAGCAATGCACTTTGCACCTTCTGCTTTTCCTGCTTTGATATAATTCATCACTTTTGTGAACATATCGTTGTCAATCTAAAAACAATGATTTAAAACAAAATTAGAAGATTTTTATTTCTAAAAAGATTAAAAGAGTTCTTCTGCATACTATATTATATAAACAGTATTCAATTTGTCTCAGTAACTTGGCGTTGAGACTACAAAGGCTTTTTACCTGAGGTCCTTGTTGTGTTCCTTCGTCATAAGGATTACCAACGGATCTCTTCTTGGCGATTTCAGCAGCCTTAGCAACGAATTTGTCATATATGCCAGATTGCACATATGTTCGTGTTGCGGCTACGCAGCATTGACCAGCATTAGCAAATGCAGCTCTGTGTGCAATGTCGGCGGCTTTGTCGACTGTAATTATAAATCAAAGATCACATGCCATTAAAAGATGAGCTCGAAATCAAGATACAACTTTTGATTGGATATCTTATAGTAGTTTTTGGTCGGTAATATAATAGAATTCAAGAGCTTTTCCAAACGTTAAGTTTTATAATGTAAGTATTTTTAATTTCTGTATCTTTGAATGTATGTGTTTGAAAAATCTTATGCAATAAGTATTCAACTGTTGTAAGATTACAAAACAATTCTGAACATTATGACATCGTAAAAGTTATCGTTATACCTACATTACGAATGAAAACTTGTTGCTATCGAGACAATGTTTATTAAACTATTTGTAAAATATTTTATTACCATCAGCGTCATTAAAGACAACGAGGGCGCTCTTTCCGCCAAGTTCCAGTGTGATGCGTTTCAGGTTGACGGCGGCGGCAGCATTCATGATGATACGTCCGACCTGAACATTAATTAGATACTATTTTGGGCACATGTCTAAAATTTTCTTGCAATATTAATTTTGATATGCATATTTTTTCTTTACTTGAATCCTAACCTATTGATAATATTAAACATGTGATTCGTATACTTTAGTAGGTATATAGTTTACAAAACAGATATTTTGATTGCGTCATTTTAGCTGAATATGATATGATTAACTAATTTGTGAATAATCGCAGTTATGGCCTTGGTTGTGTTATGATCAATCAATAATTTCTTTTGGATTATTTTGTTGTGCAAAATAGCTTTAATCTCTCACTTTGTACGTGTGGGTATTACTTTAAGCGACATCTTAAAAAACCATCTTTACACTTTGAGTGTATTGTGTTCAGGTTGACAGATAGAAGATGGACGGGATGAATTATTTTATAATATAAACGGCGATGGCGTCACTTTAGGGTGTCATACTGGAACTGGATTAGTGATGGTCTCAAGAACAAGAGCATTCTAACAGGTTACTGATGTAAAGATAGATAAGTTTCCTATTGCTCATTAAATTTACCTCGGTGGATCCGGTGAAGGCGATCTTGTCGACATCGGGGTGATGAGTCAGAGCACCTCCAGCAGTAGGCCCGTAGCCAGGGACGATGTTGACTACTCCAGCTGGCACTCCTGCTTCTTTTATGAGCGCTCCAACATATAGCGCCGTTAAAGGTGTCTGCTCAGCAGGCTTGATCACAAGAGTGCAGCCTGGTGAAATATTTAATAATAAATTTTATAGTTGTTATTAGTAGATTGTCGACGTTTTGTAACTGAAGTATTTTGATATGTTACAATACGACAAATTTGGCATTCACAATGTCAACTTGTTGTTTTGTATGATAACGTTTTAAGGTTTTTTACGTTGATAATAAAGTGTTATTATTATTATCTACCTAGATCAAGATGTAGATAACTTAAGGGATTATCAACATGATCACATATTATCAGTTTTACGCGTGTGTATATTATCTACTTTGGTTGTTGATACCGGCACTTACTTGTTTGTGACTCTCTTTGTCATTATATTAGGGGTTTTTACGGTTTTCCAAGATAAATTTAAATTTATAATAACATCAGCATCGTAAATGGAAACTTTTTAAGAAATTATTATTTCTTAATTTTTTTCCGGCTTAATTTTTCTTTGTATTGAAAGGACTGACTGACTACTTTTTGTATACTAAAGAACTTATCATTTTATGGGTGCGTTTTTACCCGATCACGGCACAGCGAAAAGGAGAGTTATGATATTGGCCGGTATGTATGTATGTATGTAAGAATGTTCATCTGTTCCCTTATAACTTGCAACTACTCATCGTAATTGGACAAATGAGGTATCATTAGAAACGTTTTAGTTTTCCGCGTGCTATGGGTAATGTGACATTAAATTGACAACATCGCCCTCTAGATAGCATAAAGTAAGAAACAAAAAAATATATGTATTATTCAATCATTCCATGTAGGGTATCAAATGAAAGATATTTATTACCACATTTCAAATTCACCCGATAATTAATGAAATAAAAAAATAAGTTCGAAAATCCGGCTACAGCTATATCCCTAAAAATAGTTTGATACAAGAAGTTTATTTTACAGCGATAACTATATTATAATAGCGTTGACCAAAGAACAGCATAGTCGTATGCCACAACAGTTTGTTTTGTTATGATCAGTGGTATACGAGTACACTGTCCTCTGGTCATAGAAATTATAATATATGAGACCAACATTGAAATTTCAGCATCTGGCAAATTTTTCGAAGTAACGTTACATCGGACAAACAAAAGTCGGGCGTCGAAGTAAGATATGCGATGCATTGAAACTTCGAACAATGAAGGCTTCGACGTACTTGTATAGTTGTCGATGTATCAATTATCGAAGAAACGTGTTTCGAAGTGACATAGAGAACCCTTTTTCGAAATGGTTATTTATTTTGTCAATTATCTTATAAAATACGCATTCTACGTCAAATATCAATAATTAATTTATTGTAAATTTAATTGGCTTTCATTTAACACCGATTTGGTACCGATAGGGCCAGTGGTTTTCTCAAAAACGATAGATAGCGAACACCGGTCATAAGTAGATATTAGGAGGTTATTTCAGTCAAGATAACCCCCTTGGCTATCTATCGTTTTTGAGAAAACCATTGGCCCTACAGGTACCAATTTAGTGTTTAATCAAAGTAAATTTTTACAATAAATAAATAAATTATATAATATGTTAACTTAATCCGGTGATATTTAAGACGATTTAATTTAAAAAAATAACCAACATTCAACATTTAAGTCTGTATTTGGCGATGGCGTGCATTTCATTGAAAACAAACATTTAACATAACGTTTGTTTTTTTGCAACCAAAAAGAAACAAGGTAATTTCCATGGGCGATACGTAATTTCCATGATGTTTTATCCATGGAAATTACACCATGGAAATTACCAAAAAACATATATTTTGAAATTACTCTGCATTGAAAAGATATAACCGGCTAGTTTTTTACTGTTTATCTACATTATAGAGCTAGGTATTTCACCTTAAAACCCATTTTCTAGAAGAAGTACAATTATGTTGAAAAAATGTGACATGGCAAAGCCGGATAACTGAGAACCAAAATTTAAGAGATTGAAGAACTTATTCTCGCAACGAAAGCGCGGGTAACAGCGACGTGGCCACCTCACCTGCTAGCTGCGGCGTAAATGACGATTCGTAAACACCAATCGGAAAAAAAAACCTTAAAATAAATTTCTTGTTTCAAACTTTTTAGTCGGGTTTTAGTTGTTGAACTTTTTTTTGGGTCTATAAAACTATCTTTCCATACGTTCATAGCAATTAAATTAATCTATTATATTATTAGCTTATAATTAAAGGGTCAGAAAAAATATTATGTTCGAACTTTTCGCATATATCTGTGTGTCTTTTTCCAAGAACATAAAATGAACAATATATGAAGATAAGGTGCTTATTTATTATTATATAATAAGATAACAAGTAGTAGCTTTATCGTCTCGTGTTATTAATAAACGAATAATAGATAAGGGTGTCACAATAGACAGTTCATTATAATATCATGCTGTGTTGGAGAAAGTAATGTTCATAGGTATAATTAATTAAAAAGTATTGATGATACTAGTCTCATCATGACTCTTGTGTATCGTAAGATCTTCCATTTCTATCCTGTTTCTTTTAACGGGAAAGAATATTTTAAAGATGATTAATAATAAGGATTTATAAAATCCTATCATTTAACTATGCAACTAAATCATAAGTACACACAAAACCAACATCGCCTAAATACGATTGTGCCACATTAAGAGACAAAGTTCATAAAGAATATGTTCGAGGTAATCTGAAGATGGCCCCTTCGTTTCCTCAACTAATATGACATTATAATGTATAGACCAGACGATTATGTCGGGAGGAATTTCCTGTCCATCGCAATTTACAAACTACGAAGAAGTAAACTGTCAGATCTGCCGTCCGCAACGGCAAATGACGTGATATGTTTAAGAAAGTCGACCCCGTCCGGCGGGATGAGGGCGAGAGCGAACATTAAAAGATGATTAAGTATTTAGGGCAATATTTGTACGTCTCTTACCTGCTGCTAATGCGGGAGCGATTTTCCATACAATCATAGGAATTGGATAGTTCCAGGGCAGAATTGCACCGCACACACCAACAGGCTCCTTCAAGGTCAATGTCAGGACCTCACCATCTGTATATAAGTTTTTGTGATTTGTAAAACAACTTAAAATTAATTATTATTTGTCAAAAGTAAATAAAATTGGAAATTTTCAACATTTTGACACAATGATTAGGGACTTACCAGCTGGTATGGTACTGCCTAGGATTTTATCAGCCTTGCCCGCGTAATATCTGAAGATGGTTGCTGACCATAAGATCTCGCCTTCGGCTTGTTTCACTGGTTTGCCATTGTCCAAGGTCTCCAGCTCAGATATGTACTTGTAGTCCCTTTCGATGAGATCTGCTATCTTTAGCAGCAGGCGGCCTCTTTGAGATGCGTCCAAAGTGCGCCATTCGGAGTAACGGTGGAAAGCTTTCTTGGCTGCGGCTACTGCAATGTCGATATCAGCCTAGAAGGAATAAGCATTGATTTCATCTATCGCATTAGCTCATACATAGTTACTTTGTTATTCATACTTTTATATATAAAACTATATTCCAACGAATCTAGTAAGTATATGGTTTATGTTTAAAGTAATGATAATTCTCTGAATGAATATTCGTTTGCATTGAACAAATCTTTAATAGACATTAAACAAGGGCGTGAGCGAATCACACTGTCGACCGATCACCGGAGACTTGATCGGCCTGCGACCAAAAAACATCGGCAATTTAATTTAATTTAATCGGCAAAATAGGTTATGTTCCTTGTCTAATTTTAAAACTAGTTATTAGTGTTAGAAAGTTCGTTTTACCTTGTCTCCTTCAGCGACATGAGTAATGACGGACTCATCTTGAGGGTTGATAGTCGGGAAGGTTTTCTTACTGACTGAGTCCACCCATTCATTGTTGATGAACAACTGCAATCAACGTATTAACATTCATCATCCTCTATTTTCTAGTATAAAGTGTGACATTATAAACATAGTCATTTTAAAGTTTATTAGTTATGATACAAGATTTTAAACGTTGTTTTCTAATATGGCGCTTATTTTATTGCAATTATAAGACAACTGTATAACCGTCTAAACCGTGTCGCTTGAACCAATTTCCATTTCCTTGAAAATCTTAAATGTTTCTAATAATCTTTTGTTATATATGTCTCATGTAAGTTACACTATTTACCTGCTTATGATTACTGAACATTAATGTTTTATTTATTTAAATCAGTGTTAATTGTACACTCTTATTCTTTTAATAGTCAGTTTTAGTAAATGGAAAATATAATTTAATAGGAAATCTTGTGTCAAAATTACAAATATCTTTTTTTGTTACATACAGTTGTAAGTTTAATTTACAAAGACATATGTCGTGAATATACAAACAGGTAAAGTGAGGATTTTTAGAGATCTGAATAAAGAAAGGTTTACAAGAATTCCAAGAATCTACGTCAACAATTGCTTTAACGCATTGTTTCTGGGATATAGAAACTTTTCCATTTTTTATAGACTTACCCCATATTACTATGCCGAACCTAAGATTTGAAGCAACATAGCCATGGTAGGTTTTAAGGTAGTCTGTGTGTTCCTCACTTTCGATAGCTGCCATAATACGTATGAAAATCTGTTCAGTTTCGTACATAATTTATCAATGTGGGGTTTCTTAACCCTAAAGAAGCTACAGAGTTAACTTCTTTTTTTCATATACTTACAGGAAAAATAAGTAATTGATTGATTCATTGATGAAATTGAAGTGATTTTGAGTGATAACTACAATGCAATGCAATATTATACTCCTTTCTGTATTTTTTTCTTTATTATACTCCTTTTTCAATTTCATATAATTTATTAAAAAAAAAATAGGCAAATAACAGCGTTAGCGAAATCTGTGGTTATAGTACGTAGTAATATAGTCTTTGACAATAGAACCTTTATAATATTTTAACATCATATTTAATAAATTATGTTAAATAACTTATAATTGAAATTTATTATGGTCAAATTTCGACCACTGGACGACCACTAGTTAAAATTAATAGTCAAATTTAGTTATATGATATTGTTTTTGTAAATAGTATATATTTCGTCTTATCATTATTTACTATTAGATTATTTGATGACAACCAATTTGTTATGTCAGTTATTGTGTCACTAAAGGATTTATTTGTTTTATCATTTAACATTACAGATATGTCATCGGCATAAAGTAAGTACTCAATACTCAACACAGTGAAAATTTTGTAATCATTGATATAAATAGGAAATAATAAAGGTCCCAATATACTTCCTTGTGGTACATCAATTAGATTATGTTGCATACTAGAAAAAAATGAATTAACACGTGAATTATCGTCATAATACATGGTTTCTACACACTGTATTAAATTTCGCAAATAAGTTTGAATTCATTCGAGACACCTTCCACGTATTCCGTAAATCTTACGTAAAAGGTCTGGCTGTTTGGGAAAATATTGTGGAATAGTCTTCTTTACAATTTTCGGTAATTTGGTTGATTTAGAATCAGATTTATTTGTGAGTAATAATAATAGTAAGGTATTGTTCCTTTTGTAGCCGTAATATTGGGCAACTTACTATTAAATACATGCTCAAAGTTACGCAAACCTTTACTCATAGCTCCACAGGCCAAGAAATAATTTTGATAATAGTTGCAATCTAATATATGACTTATTTTTTGACAATACAATTGGAATTTATAGTATTCTACAGAATTTGATAAAATATCAGATTTTCGTCCACAACAAGAAAAGTCCACTCAACATTTAATTTCTTATTGATACACCTTTCATAATATATATTATAAAAAGTGTTTTATAATGATGTGGTGTGTCCTTGTAATATTTCGAAGATAAGTTATACAAACAGAAAATTAATTTCAATTAATTTTTATCGTTTTCACATAACACAAATATATCTGAGGTATATGCGTCATTATAATAGTCCCATTGTATGTCCTCGGCCACTGCTTTTGGTTCTGTTATAGAAAATATTGTATATTTTTTGTAACTAATATTTAATTAAACGTTTCTAAGAGTTGCTGCTAAATTGACAATTTGCTGTGAACCAAATATACGTATTGTTCTAAGTTTATAGTGCGAGTTTATGTCATGCTTTTGATTACCGCTAATATTATTAGAAATTAGTTTTCATATTGTTACAAACCAGTGTATCAATTGAATTCCGTAACAAGAACAACGCTACTTAAAATTCCACATTAATCGACGGTAACTCCAAAGACATTTAACTCGAATGTTTTATTGATCAAGTTCACGAGTGCCAAGCGGTGTAATTGTTATTTATTATTGTGTGGTCGTCGTGAATACACGGAAGTCTAAAATTGCAACAGGCGACCACCACACAATACCATATTACTTGAAACATAATCTTTTGAAGAATTTTCTTTAAATAAAGCCAGTCTTAGTCTTGTGGTAAATGAAGTAAATCCATATATTGTAATTTTGATGTGACATTTTCTATTTCAGTGCTCTTCTCATTTGAATATTCATATTTCTATCAGCTAGCATTATTATCAAGATTTGGTATCTAATAATTTATCAATCCAGCGTGGAGGGTTATTGGTCCTTAGCCATCCTTAAGGAAGGCCAGAGCCCCTGCAATGGGGACGGAAAAGGGTTAATGATGAATTTATAAATACAACCCGTCACTTTTGCTAGAAGTAGGCACATTATCGAGATTATAAGGACTGTCTATAGGAATTTGGGAACTCATCAACATGGGTTAACAATACGACAATGGGACCTATTTTTGTCAGAAGCTATTATCGTGTTTAATAGATGGTTATTCAGTATTGTGACATCAACTACTATGTGAGTATTTTGATATAGGTAGTATTTTAACCACTCGTATATAATATATAAATTATGATGTAAACAGGCCAACAGATAAATATATCGACGTAAAAATGTGTTTTTTTTTAATACTGCTCTTTTTATTGCTGCATCTGGTACAGGATCCTCCCTGGGTGCATGTGATATTCATTTAATAGTCTTTTTTTATAGCGGTCGAGGAATATGAATAGGATCTTTTTGAACGTTACTTATTCACATATACTGTCCGGGGTGGTGAAACTATTATTCATTCTAGTAACTAACCCTTTTTCTTTACGAAAATATAACAATGCATTGGTCTGAATCTACATTTAGTTTTTGTTTTCATTGTTGTTTCATTAACTTATTTTACTACATTCTGCAAATTGCACTTACTTACATAAAAATTGAAAAACGCTTTATTGACAAATATTTATGACATTATTAGGACGTAGAGCTGTCACTACATTGGCACAAGTTTGATATCATCTATATGATTATTTTTAAACAGCTGTGAAATCTTGTAATTAGCTTTAGATTATGTATTTTAAACATCTTATATAGAGCAGTTAGTTTTTTATAAAAATAAATTAAAAATAAAATTAGGTCATATTATGATGAAAAATTTAATATGGAATATTATAAAATTAACTACAACTTATAAATTAATTTAGGATTTATTTAAGATTTTTTTTCTGACTTTCTTCTAATATTAATTGTGAATTTAAAGTTATTATAAAAATATATTTTACATACCTTAGTATATTTGATGTCAACTTTAACCATTTTGGTGTTTGTATTTCGATCGCGACACACACGTGTATCCACCGGGTACTGCCGGTTTAAAGTGAAGCAACTCGGCGTGGCGAGATGTATTTAACTAAAAGTCTAGTATTAGACAGAGAGTTCGTGACAAAAATGTGCCAGAGCGTTGGAAAGTTAGATTGTTTAGCATGTTGATGTACTAAGGGTACATCTCTACTCAGTGCAGAGGTTGGGCTCTGGAACACCTAGTAAAGGCGGCGGCAAATGTGTTTGTTCCGATAAATTAAAGTTTGAGTTTTTTTAATGAAATTAATTCTACCTAATAATTTAGTAAATAAACTTTTAATCATTAGAAAAATCTTTTTCGGAGCTCATATTCTCACCAATTTCTGTGATCTGCTGAGTCACCGCATTCCACGATTATGCAGCCTGAGCAGCTTAGTCGCCATTTTGTTAAGAATAAGATTTTCGCTAATTTTAAACTACATACTAAAAGCACCTTTAATATGTGTTATGATTAATAGGTGTTCCAGCACCTGACCTTCGCACTGGGTACTGAGTGATGTATATTATTAGAACTTCAACATAATTAAATTTCAAGCTTTCGAAAGGTCTTGGAGATTTTTGTCACGGCCTCTTAGAGTATAAAATCCTTACTATCGCGTACACATGATATATAATCTTATCAAGTCTGCTGGTTGGTCACTGCCGAGTAAGCGCGTTGCCATGTAATGGCGCCTGTCGATAAAAATCATCATAAATCAAATCGTATTATTGAATGTTTGATATGACTGATTAATTTTCCGTTATTTTGTAAAACAGTTCATTACGGTAAAATTTCAAATGGTTTAATAAATAAAATTTGTATCTCAGGATTATTGTTTTTTGAATTAACCATATCATAATCGATAGTACAGAGGTTATCTCGTTCTACGATACGGAGTTTAAGTAACTTTCATAAAGGCCGGTTATAAGATGGGTGAACATTTAGACATTTTAAGTAGTCGTTAACATCCAGTCCATTGTGCTCGTTTGGTGAATAAAAAAAAATATATATAACAACATCACATACATTGCCCAGATTCCAAGATGAGTAGGTAAAGCCCCGTATTATGGAGTATCTGAGACAACGAAGGTACCACAACACCCAGATCTGAGACAATATAGAAAAGTTCATTTTTTATATTGATCCGTCCAGGAATAAAATCCGGGACCTCAGAGATGGCGACACCTTGAAGGAGCCGTTAATTTTTCTTTACTTCTTGATGCTCCAAATTCCGTATTTGCACTGAACCCTTAGATAGGCGACAAATCGAATACGTGTTGATTAGATTCCTTCGCGCCCTTCGACTAAGGGCGTTGAAGGTCATGGTAACAGTCGTCCAGCACGAAAATTCTGCTAATGTTTACGTCTCATAGAATATCAACTAGCATTTTCCCATAGTACGATCTACATGCAGTCGAATATCTATATCTATACTAATAATAAAGCTGAAAAATTTGTTTGGTTGCACTCTATAATCTTAGAAACTACTACTTCGAAGTGATTTTATTTATGTTGAATAATTCATTTATCGAGGAGAGCTTATAGCCTTTTAGTTATCGTCATAGCATGATGTTATGTCACGCTAGGAGTGGAGCGGGAAAAACGGGACCTTTTGAGAGCTTTCCTTTCGTGCGCTGCGTAAACGGCGAAAGTTAAGCAAAAATCATGTATTACGAAAGTATAATGTCTATCTTTTATCTTATCCCGAAAAATAACACATAACGGGATGAAAATGGGAGTGGAAGTTTATATAAAACATTAAAACGTAACCATTGTTTTACAATGAAATTTGTCATGGTAATTATATTCCATGAATCTTGAAAAAATTTTTTCCCTTTATACGTCCTCCCCTACATATAATTAAGTGAGGAATGAAATATTTCTTTTTATCTTCCTATAGCGTCGGATTTCGTTGGTCTTTCAAAAATATTCAGGGTATGGGATGACCGTTTTTTGATTTAGTTAACCGTACGTGACTTATTAAGGCTCAAAATTGCCAATTTTCGTTAATCCAATGCCCCCCATCCCTCTACCAACTAATCGGTTATTGTAAGAAATTCAAAAGTCACGCAATAGTATTTATATTTACGAAGTTAAAAAGAAAACTCTCACACTTAAGTTGTTGAGATTCTATTGAAATACGATATTATAACGTACACATTGGCAGAATTCTAATCCAATGCAATCGGCTTGCAGATAGTTAGCAACAAGCAAGGTCACTTTTTTTGTCAACCGTCTGGATGATATTTTACAGCATATTGAGTGATTTCTACAGTTCCTCATTTTGCGGTAAGTCATGGTATAAAGTGATAATTCTTGTCACCAAGATCCAGATCACTTATAGTACAATATTGTTATTTTAAAGTAGCTGTTTTTCCACGGCTTCGTCCGCTCTAATTATAATCTATGTCAAATATGTCGTGTGATATAGCTTTTAGGTAAAATAATTTTTAAAATAGATCCATTAGTTTCGTGGCCTATTCGATGCAAATAAATGAAAAAATCAAAACATTCCTCATCATAACATAAGGTATAGATGAGAGAAAGATATAATTGTTGTTTTCATTGTTCATATTCCGCCATCAGTTTGCCATTTATCAATTAAAAACAAGTTATCAATAAACATGACTTAAAAGATACAGTGAATAAACTTATTACGGAAAAATTATATTATTTGTTTTGTTATAAAGAAAGTTTATATCAAAGTAGCTTCGGGCCTATTCTATCCGTAGATAGGTACTCTAGTTCACGGTCTATTTAATTTTTTTTTTGCGTAATCAATAAATTACTGCAATACATTGAATTAAAATGTCACATGACGTCACATTTTTGTACATTTTCTACATAGCTATGACATAGTGAGACCCTACTCCTAAGCTTTGATGCCGTTTATCTAAGGTATTTGTTTGTTGTTGATATAAGTATCTAATATTTTTCTGTTATCTGAATGACGGACTAAATAGATTTTACCCAAAGATAAAAATGCCGTAAAAGTTAATTCTTTTTTACTAATACTTAACTCATAAGATATGTCTAACCCAACGAATTTTGAGTTGTACAATTTGTGCGGCGGAAGAAATTCGACTTTTTTATAAGCTTTTAATTATTGATCTCTTTCTTATATTTTCGCGCACAATTCATAAATGAAACAACTTTTTTTTAAAGAAAATTAAAATACAATCATCACCTTAATCTTACGCGACCACGGAAAATTTAAAGGGTCCAAAACGTCAATAAAACTAAATACAAACGCGATGAAACCGTTTAAAAGTTGTTTAATTTATAGTTTTTTATAAATTTGCCACGTGTGTCTCTATGTGTGTATGTTTGTTAGTTATATCTTGCAACTTAGGTTAACAACAGTAGTTACCATATTACCATCAACAGAGTAGGCTAACATTCCACACAGGTTAATTTTAGACTAAACTATTTTAATTTTACGTTATCTCATGGTTACATGTACTCAAAAATAATTTTATTTTTGTATACTATGATATAAGAAGTAAGTTTAGTTGACAGGATTAAAATTAATTTTTGTATAAAAATTGTTACTAATATTTTTCTTAGAAGAAAATACAAACTTATTTTGCTATTTATTAAAAGAGGTTCTTTCGACTTTAATAAATATTAAAACTAAGAATAGTATAAGTTCTGTTCTTAGGATTTGAGCTTATCAACATACGTATAAGAGTGATACATTGTCTTTAATATTAATTGTTTATATTTAAATCAATTACTAAACAAATCAACTATCTATTGCATTCAAGTTGTTGATTAGGTATGTAAAATCTGAAATGTCATATTACTTAAAACAAAGTAAGTAATTAAAAGTATGAAATAAAATGTATCAATTTATCTGAAACAAACAAATCCACTATCGTGTTATCACTGGGCAATAGGTTAAATCACCTATTTGTTTAAATAAAAGATTATAAGTTTTATTTCCTATACATTTTGCTTAGGTATTGTTGTCCTATTATTAACCTTATCAATTTATAATACTAAGAAACTCAATAGGTTCGAAAATGATAAATAATTATATAAATCCGTATGGGAAGGTTTCATAAGGCTAATTTTTGAGATTGAATGAATTATTTTATAGCACTGCACTATAAAACTATTAGATGAGATTCATAGAAGCATGACCGCCGATACAAAGGATAACCGTGTTGCTAAGTAAACAGTTTTAAATATGTTACTTTTAAGGCAACCTTTAAACTTTAAAGGAAAGAAAAGTCGCCGCAGACGTATCAATAATAGAATGGAATTGCTATTCGAACATTTTGTTTTTGTAAAAGCAGAGGATATGAACCTTAAATTGCTTTTTAGCAATAAGGCCGACAATTGTACTGTTTTTGTTACATTATTATGAATTGTTCATTTACTTATGGTGTGTATAATAAAGAGTCTTTCATTCCTTCATTCATTCATTTATTCAGGGCTGTCCAGCCAAATTTACCTTATAAAAGCTCCGGCATATTCTAAATAGCAGGGGGAAAGAGCCGGGACCTAGCAAGAAGTCCGCCGGAATACATAGGTATACTAATCTAAATCTATAAAGAAAACGAACACATTGGATAGGTACCTTATATAATTTAACTGTATAACATACAGAAAAAAAAGAATCCAGCTTGTGGATATATTTATTTCTTAATTACGTGCGTCTGACAACCATACGCAAAGAGTCCTATAAAATAATATTCCTGATAGCAAAATAAAGTGGTGTAGACAACTCTGTTGCAGGCTCATTCGCATAAGTGAAATGATTTTTTTAGTATCTACTTAAGTTTCTAATATTTACTTTTATTATTTTGATCATACATACTACTATAAATCAAAATTACACCTGAATATATTATATTTCTCCGAAAACGACACTTCGTCTATTTTCGAAACGCTAACAAGAATCCAAAAAAGGCATTTTTGATAATTTATAATGCAATGGAGGTAGGACATTACATTGCCTCTGATGCACAGATAATCTTCACTGATATTTTAACAAAATTATATAAAAAAAACAAAAAGGAAAGGCCCTCAGGTGTCATGTTAATTCGTACGAGCTATACATATATAAGATTTTAGTGTTAATACCACTCCGTAAGTTCTCGTGAGACTCTTTTATTGGAAAATCGAAGCATCGGGAGAAGCCTCTTCGTTCACGCCTAGACGTGCTGTTGGTGAGATGGACTAACATCTGTCCAGTTTCAAGTGATTCTCTTTTATTTTTAGGACTCGATCCGGCCCGCCCTCTAGTGAACGCATACGGTTCGAAGTTGTTCAGGCTAGGGAGGGATGACGCACATGTGGTACAAGTCGTCCACTCTAATGCCGGTTTCCTTGGGGAGGCGGGCTTGGTGGGACATGTCGACTTCTGCATTAACGGAGGCAAACTGCAGCCGGGCTGCATGGGCCATACGATGCGTAAGTTTTCATTTTGAATTATTCCCATGATTTTGTGTAGTAAATAGTGCAATGTGAGAGGCAAAATATTTATTGGCCTATTCTTAGTTTCCTTAAGAATTTAGTAAATTAATTCTTTATGTATAAACGATAAAACACCTATTAAAGTCTGTGGTTATTGCATGTATTAGGGTTCCTCGGAACGGGAATCCCATTCGTTCTTTAGTAGTAAGAAGTAGGTAAAAAAATCTCTCTTCTTAACGTGGCGCTATATTCAAATATATATCAAACATGGTAACGATGCTATTCGTGCTTATTCGTGCTGTTATAGTTCATACGAAACAGCGACTCCCTGTTTTCTCCTTTTTCCTCTCCCAATTTATCTAAGGTCGGGTCTCCTTGTGCGTCGGCGCCAGGAAATTCTATCCTGCTTTGTCAAAAGTGAAAGGCTTTAAGCTCCCTCTCAATATTGGATTACCATGTAGCAGGTGGTCTACCTCATCCCACATACAGCGGCTTCCCGCAACATTTATAAGATAGTTGGTCCACCTGGTGGGGGACCTACCCACTAAGCGTAGTCCGGTACGCGGCCGCTACTCCAGACTTTTCCGGCACCTCGAAAACTGATGGTAATTCTGAATTACTTTTAATGTTATAGGAATTGCCCGCTGCAGCCACTTCAAAAGTTGCTGTTTGTATGCAGCTAGTGTCCGCCGAAAACTGCGCATCGTAGGTGTGCCTTGTGACACCACGTGTCCGAAAGAAACTGGCAGATGGGGCTTAAGGTCTGGTAGACGGTCCATTTTACTAGGCGAAGACACGCCACATACGTGAGTAATTTATGCCCCGTTTTGTGGCTCTTTTTATATTATCTTCTTTGTTTTCAACAAGGCTATTAATTTTGTCTACGTATTCGACGTAAAGTGGTGTAAAATAATGATCAAATTGTTCTTTTTTTCTTGAGCAAACTTTTCCACGAAGCTAAGTGGACTAGTCAATCCAGTAAAATTAGAAACTATCCTATATCTTTGGGCTGGCTTGATTACTGGCTTGAGGGTTTGTTTCCATTTACAAGAGAATAATGCTGGGCTCTCTTGTCTATTGGCCTTCCGCAAATCGATTCTAGCCGTCCTATTATAAAATTAGATGTAACTTTAGTAACTGCTTCAAACCATTATCCGATCAAAATAAATCAACATGTCTCAATTTGACGTTTTATATTCTGCATTTGCATTTTAGGCGGTCAATAGTTTAAGCCAAATACTTATTAGTCAACGTTTTAGAATAAGACGATAGTTGCCTACATATTTTGCGTACAATTGTAAGGGATTGTTTCTCCGTTTTTACGTGATTCGGAAGGCAGGTTAAGCCGTTGGCACTACTTACTATTACGCAACAGGCCCCGGGCCACGTATTCTATTCGACTCACTGTCCATATTCGATTCCATCGAGAGTGGTGGCATTAATATATTGGTGATAATGATGATGATTTCCGTATAGCGCTTTCTAGTCACATGTGACATTCTTCTCACGTATCCGAACCAACAGAGCAAATTCCTATTATCCAGAAATTGTATGCTTTAAATGCACTGAAGGTTATAATTAAAATTAATTTGTTTCAGATCCCGGGGCATGTATTGTGTTAAAGTAGATGTTGAAGCAGACTGTCCGTTTGATTAATTAGACATTAGATTCTAATTTATAACATAATTAACTTAAGTCATAGGTTATTGAAAATGTTATTAATATTTTCATATTAAAATTTATTTATTTGATAATTCCGTTTTTATCTAATATGATTCTAAATCAGTAAGAACTCCTTAATGATTTAGAATCATATTTAAAAGAACATCATATTGAAATACAAATTGCACAGAAAAACGCATAAATCATGTATTTCCTATGCAATCAGTCAGGTAAAGAAATAAAGGCATAAAAATACCACCACAATATATACTGAATTTTAATGTGCATGTTTTAATCTTTAAAACTACTGAAGCGATTCTGATAAAATTTTGAGTTGTTCGCTTATTTTAAAAAAATCATCGTGATTTAAGGTCTAATTTGTGCGAAAACCGTTGACAAGAAAACATACTTATATTTGAAAATTACAAACACGTGTTGAGAAGTTTACATAGACAGACAATATAAAAGTGCAATTCAAACTATAATACATACCTATTGGTAAATTAACAGCTTTTTTCGAAGGCAGTAAAAATAACCTTGAAATGGTTATGAGTGGATCTCTCGTATAAGTTGAGAAGTGAATAAATATCTCTTGAATGTGGGATGTAATTTAAGAACTCTTCATAAGTGAAATTATATTTTTGAAAGCTGTGTTTAATGAAAAATAGACTCTATTATCTGAATCAAATTTTATTGAAAAAAAAAATTAAATTCTATTTTTTGAAGATTGAAGATGAAAACTTAGAATAATAAGTTAAAGAAGTAAAATTACAAGATGTGGCATTCCTGTGATCTTACACATGACACATGACTTATCTCTTTATTTCTTCTGCGGCTTAAATGTAACATACACGGTCGCACACGAAAAATTGCAATCTTGAGATAGGAATAGGCTTTTGAAAGCATAATCACCATAAATAAACGAGCCTGCGTAGTAATTTTTCGCTATTCTATCCAAATCGAAAGTCAGCTCGTAGTGACCCTGTGTAATTATAAAAGAATATGTTAGTATCGGCTCAATACATAATATCCCTGCTGCAATCAAAAAAAAAAATCAAAATCAAAATCATTTATTCAGTCTAGGCTGTTACAAGCACTTGTGAAAGTCGAGAGCTACGCCAACGGTTCGTAAATCTACGGCGGGAGACCTTGTACCGAGAAGAACCGGCAAGAAACTCGGCAAGGGCTGCTTTTTTCTCCCTGTTTTATTTCATACAGAGCGTCAAGATTGAAAAATGACTTCATTAAAATTTGAAGTCACTTTCCATTACAATATTACACAATATTAAGAGTAAAACAGTATTTTCGTCAATCCAATCACATTTGTAGATAAAGAAGCTCAATTAAGAACAATTTAATATATATGAAAAATGAGCCATATTTAACTCCAAGTAATTAAGGCACGAGTTTCAATCAGGCCTATCTTTGAATTAACTTAGTTAAATTAATTCTATTCTTTTTCACACGGAAATTTACCAGGAATATAATCACAGGTAGCCCTTATTACAACGCGAGTCTTATTTGCCGCTGGTAATTTAACTTAATATTTATAAAAATGAAAGTACGTGCATAATTTTTGAATAGCTGCACTAAATTGGATGATTCTTTTTTTGTGAGTGGAGGAATGAACTCAGATATCCTCCAATAGATGCAGCATGATGACTATTTTGTTAAATAAATAAAGATGCCAATCTTAGTGATGGTAGGTGACGGGCAGTGACGGGCGAGATGACTGCGGCTACGCTATTGGCTAGTACAAAGACACGTATTAGTGATGGGAACCATAATGTGTTAAAGGCATGTCAATAATTGATCGATATTATATGTTAGTATTAGATGTCATTTAATATTTTTATTAAATTTTTTTTATTTAATACACAATTTATAGCACTATAAACTAATTGATGAACAAGGCATCACGACAAGGCTTCAGTGAGCGCGATCAATTAATCACTAACTTTCAATCAGTCGACGGGAATAACTTTCAAAAATCAATTTTGTACAAAGAAATACGTTTATATAAGTTGTAATTAGAAATGGGAGAACAACATCACATTTTAAATATTCAATCCCAACCAAAACGAGAACTATTAGCCCCAATAGAAAAAAAAACAAAGTATAAAAATAAACATTTTTTGCATTACTTGTTGTTCTGGTTTATCTGCTACACTTTCTAATTTAAAGCTATGCTAATGCACTTAGACAAAAAACCTACATAAAAATGAGTGTAGCGCCACCGCGCTCATGTAAAATTATTAAGTTAAATCTTCAAAAAGGGGTTAATTTTGATGAAAATGCAAAAAATACCTCGGAGTACTTTTATATACTAATTTGCGCACTGAATACAAAATTTTCCTGTAATAGTAATCAATCAATATTTTTTTAATTTGTCCAAAAAATTTGTGCATGCAAAAAAAATTACATCATCAAGAGCGCACAAAAGCCTTTTCGGTTTTATCAGTGGCTGTGGAGTTCAGATACAATTATTCTAAAGTAATTACAATAATACTTTGAAAAGGTAAATAAGGTAGTTAAATATCGATATCGATCATACCTTGAAAAAGTATGCAGTAGCGATACTAGTGTCACAAGTGTCTTTGGCAGAATGAAATAAATATACTTATTTCGTAATGAGAGAAAGGGATGGTTTTCAAGAAGACATCAAAGCGTGCTGCATTTTTATAAAGTTACCTCTAATTGTCCACTATAACTTGAACTCCGCAAGATAAAATTACAGATAAAATTTATATTACTGGTGAAAAGTTATACCATCTTTCAAGCAATTAAATATTTGAATTTTTATCCACACTATTTGACACTAGAACTTGCCATGATTAACCTAATAACTACTTTATTATAAAGAAAAGTCTTCAAAGCATATATTCACAGATCGAACACTTGGTCGTAACTGACGATCACATACGCGTATTACTACTTTTGTTAAAACGATCTATGCAGAATCATAGATGCTTGGATACAGCTTACTGTCTTTCATGCGGCATCTATTGGAGGTTATCTGTGAGGAATTAAATATGGCGGTATGAAGTTCGCCGGGTCAGATAGTTATTATTAATACTTAAGGACCTTGTATCAATTTAGTTTAACCTTTTGTTGAAACAACGAATGATCAAGTTCGAAGATGAGTCCAAACAATAGGTAAAAATTACTATTATAAAAAACAAGAACTTTATCTCACCGCCGAAACAGCACAATTCGTAGAAACATTCAATGCAGCAAGCAGAAGTGGTTTCATGACAAGGTGTTCGCAAGGATTCGTTATTTGTAGCCGTACAAAGTCATGGTCCTTTGTCTGTGCAACAACTTTCGCCTTAAAAAAGTAACATTTTCATAAATTCAGTAAATGTATTATAAAATGTGCTATTATCAACACTAAATCATCCGGTGAAGAATCTTTCATTGTATACTAATATTTCCCGCGACTTCGCCCGTGTAAATTATAGTCTAATGTCGCTACTCGTAGATTAAACAATTTTTAAAATCTGTTTTATAGTTCAAATCTTTCCTCTATATACTCATAGTATGCAGGTGTAGTAATATTTAAAACAACCAGTATGGGGATAACATGATACTATGAGACAAACGAAGATCTGTTCTTAGGAATCGTGTCATCGATTTTAGTGAAAAGAAAAACTGCACTCATTAAAAAAACCAAACGAATTTGATATCGATACCAATCGCGTAGGTCTCACTTCTTGAGTAGCTAATGTCACAATGAAATGATTTTAGGTATAAATGAATATAATGCAGTTTTTCATATCATTTAATTTATTTTAGTAAGTATTTTCTCATGAGACTTATCTGTAGGCGCGTTGGTCACAGACACACATATTTAATAAAAATAGATCAGGAAATGCTTTTATAGCTTCATTTTATTCATGGAGTAGACTTTAGTAATGAATGTATTAAAACTATAGACTCTGTACGGCACGTAATTATTAATAAATAATTTCTTCACATGATTTTATTTGTGTTTCTTAGTTTCTAGATCGGCATAAAAACAATTAAAAATAAGTAAATAAAAATTAATAATACTTTGACCAGCCTTGTAGAATATTTCAAATCTAACATATATGACATAGCAGTGCTGTTGTGAAGTTTTATCGATAGTATGCCGCAATCTTTCTGTTTGGGTCCTCTGCATATTTCGATTTTATTCAAAATCAAATCAAAT